ATCAGTTAGACCCTCGCAAACAAGGTAATTACTGTGGCAGGAAGTAAAAATCAGATTAAGTGGGATTTTGTGGCACAGGAGACCCCTTCAGGCATTTGTCTGGAAGGGGGACCAGGGTGGATGAAGGGAGGATGGAGCCCTGCCTCTGAATTTCTCTTTGGAGCTTTAACTCCACCATCTCAAGCTTCTTCCATTCTTGCTTTCCATGTTTAGTTCAGTCCATTTTAATTCTATCCCTTGATTAGACCCTTATTCCCAACATTTTGTGGATTCTTGTTTATCAAAGCTGTGAACTGAGCTGTATTGGTTTGTTTACTTGAGGACTAGCTGTTGTGTGCAGAGAAGAAATACTAGTTTAACTGGAGTCAAGAACCTACAGCCACAAGAAAACTAAATCAGATTGAGAGAGAGAAACTGGATAACGTGAGATCATTTCACTCTGAGTCAGTCCTGGGGGGTTTTCTCCCCACCGGTAACTATTAAGGACAGACAAGGAGATCTTAACAGATCAGAGTCCACATTCCAATGGACAGATTTGGGCTTATAAAATTATTAATTTGATAAGCTGCTAAGGACGTAGCAGAAGAATAAGTGGATAGAAGAATAAAATGGGTGATAAAATTTTTCTTCTCTTCTTTCCCCTACAGCACTGGCATTAGAACAGCTCTGTGCGCACCATATGTATAGTCATTTTCCATGACTAATGGGAATAATGCACTGCATTTCATAATACTGATCTCTTTGGCAATTTGAGAAAAACTCATAACTGGATGGCTACACTTACTATCTAAAAATACTTATCACAACAAACCCTCAAGCAAAATTTCTTTAAAAAAAAAAAAAAAGTACCCTTAAGAGGCTTTCTAGAGAAGCACAGAAACTTTTCAGAATGCTAAGGCAAGAACCACCCTCTCTCCTCCCCTGTTTTGGGTAAATGCTTAATCCTCTCAGATGTTTTCTCCTGTCGAATGCTTGTCTTACGTGCAGTTTAAGATGGTGTTTAAAATTTTCAACATTCCTTCTACAAGTGGATCCCTGTTTCCCCTAAAAATGGACTCAAACTGATGTTAGAAACTGGCACAGATGTTAGAAATTCCATCCTCTTTCCAGAAAAGGACCAAGTGTGAATGTGAGGTAATGTCCCTTTTTGGCAAGTTCTTATTTCCTCCCCGATTCTGGATGTAATTGTCTGCATGCCCATCAAAATGAGTGGACATCACACATAACTTGCCTGCAAATCACTCCCTGAGAGTTACGTGGAGGTGCTTCCAAATGCAGAACGTCTGTAAAATTATCTGCAATCAGAGTGACTTCTTCTAACACTGTCTGAACTGCGTCAGGGGAGCACTTTGTGCTGAAAACAGTCAGCCAGTGTCCTAATGCTATGCAGAAGACTATAAACTATAGAAATCAAAACTAGATTTTAATTTTCATAAGCCACAAGTACATGCAGGTGACACTAGCTATCAAATGCTAACCCAAAACTTTTTCTATTTTTATAATTGATTTTTATTCATTGCTTGTCAAAATAATCTGGAAAGGAAAAAATAAGTCATCTATACTCAACTTAAATATGCCCCTTCATGTCACGCACTAGCCAGGAATATTTTGCTGGAAATCAAATAATTTTAGGAAAATCACCTATGTGTTCACTTCATAGAAATTGTGTGTGTGCTTGTTTGGCTAATTTTCACCATGATTAGTGGCACACTTGGTAACTGACTCCAACATTTCACACAGAGTTGAGTGGTACTGTTTTCATTCCGAAGAGAACTTTAAAACTTACAACCTAAAATTTAAATTTCTGATGTTCAACAAGGTTCATAAATAACTTCTTATAAATCAAGAACTAGGTTTGATTTTAAAGCACAAAATTAAAACATAAAATACTTTTGGAAATAAAATATCGTGAATGTTTGAGGAGATAACTCTTTATAAAACATTCGCCAACACACACTGTTTCTTTACTTCTGATAGTATGGAAAATGTAGGTACTTTAAATCCTCAAATTATCCCAATTCCCTAAACTCATCCCAAATCTCTTCCTAAGGTGTTATTTATATTTCTCATTGCCCGTATGTCTTATATAATGATTTACATTTATTCAATAATACCTCCATATTGGCCAACTTAGAGAATGCATGTTTAAAACAAAGATCTTACAAGATATTAGTTATACGTGTCTAAACATGCCTGATAACCCTTATACGTAAAGCCAATAATGGCCAGGGGTCAGGGGTTAACAAGAGCAGAAAAGTCATGGATAGTTCTTGACTGAAGCTAAGAATGCAATAATAAGAAAACTAAATATACCTGAGTAGAACAAAGGCACTTGACAGAAATTAACTTTCGATGCAATCTTCATAAGGACCGAGGCTGTCTTCCACAAAACAAACACCAAAATCAGTCTCATTATTCATCATCACACTTGATGTGTTTAGTTACTTAAATGCAGTAGATAGCAGTTCTCTTAAGACCCAATATAGCGTACATGAATAGGAATCGGTTTGCACTGTGATCATGACTATTATTTTAACCAAGTCCTTGACTTAACCCAAAATGAAAGCTGTTATTAAGAAATGAAAAAATTTTGTAATTCTTAAACGCTATGCAACACGAAGAAGATTGCTATCTTCATCATTTGAAAGAAATCAAAACGTCTCCTCTTATGAATTACTTAATAACATCACTAAAATAACTAAAGAAAATGCAGGTTCCCCAATAAAATACATTTAATATTCGATCCACTAGAGGAGAATTTCATCCACAGTTCTAGCTCACAAAATTCCCCAAATCAAGAGGCAGACAACTTATTTTGCGGCTGAGGGCAATCTCTTCGCTACATTTTCTCAAAGATGGCTGATGCAAACAGCACCTCAGAACTACACAAAAATGGTTGCTCAGATTAAATTATGCAAACGTAGTTTCAAAATAAGCTGCTCAAGTTTCAGCGCGTTAACGTTGGACCTGCAAAGCATTTGCCATGTTACTCCCGGTTCCAGCGGAATTTCAGTGGGTACTGAAAGGAGCGAAAACCCCAAATCATCCTTATAAAGAAAAACTTTGAAACGTAAGCGCACAAACATCAAATCCCACAGGGACATTCACCAGCCCTAGACCTGACCCCTGAACACAGATCTGTCACTAACGCAAAACAAGGCAAAGCCATCAGGCATTTCTTGAGATCTCATCCTGGACTGCAAGCAGAAAGGCCATCTTCGAAAAGCCTCAGTATTATCTATTAAAGTAAGATAGTCCAGAGACGGGATTTTCAAAATGGGGATGAATTTATAGGGTAAATTATTAAATAAGGTAACTGAAATACACTTTAACTGATCCATTTTCCACAAAATGGCATTTATTTTCAACCAGGCAACATTTCATAATCAGACACCCATCTAGAAAAATTTTTCTGTGGACATAAAATTCCTAGTTTTTTCCTAATTAAAAGTAAATGATAGGAAAATGCAGAGTGATTACAATACTAAAGCAATTCAGTAAACTTCACGTGCAGCCTAATCTGAAGCCACATGACACTGTTAAGGTAAGAAACACATTAGATGTCTCCCAATTAATAATTGGTCATTTAGGGTTTTTTAGTAAATAAACTTAGGTTTTAAACACTTTTTTCTCTGTTGACATATTTATATTAAGGACTAAAGAGAAATTGTCAAGTAATGATGTACTTAAACTGTCAATCATATTTAGTAAGTCAGCTGAAATAATTTGCAAAACAATAGGAACAGAATAACAATATAAAATATTTTCATTTTCAAATGTTGGAAACTTGTTAGTAGTTGAAAGTTATACAAAATGAAACTAAAGTGAAGAGTTGTCATAAATGGAGTTTTCCTTTTCTACCAGTCAAAAAATAAGGAACCATTTTGTTCTGAAATATGATACCAGCGTCCTTTGATATCAAACTTGAATTTTCACAACTCTGTTATTGTCAGTCTTAAAAGCAATATTTAAATGCCATTTACTTCCATTTACACCCCATCACTGGTGATTTCTCTTACTATACTTTCATAAGTTTATATAACTCAGAGCATCAATACAGCAGCGCTGGAAAACCTCCGCTCTGTTCCATACGATTCATTTTGCTGTGCTCGTGTGTATTTCTCTAGTTTCGTCAGTTTCGTCCCAAGTATTCATCATTCAGACTTTCTCCTACACTTCTTAAACTAGTTTTGAGGACTTTATGACAGGCTGAGGAAATCCTTAAGAAAATAAAGATCCTTCAAACAAGTCAACATTCTAGGCCTTCAACTGTCAAACAAAATCTCGAAAAGAATGAACAAAACATCACCATCTTACTTTTATGGCCCCCAAATGAGCCAGAAGAACTTCTCAGAGCCTTGTTGACCACCCCCAACCTACTCACGCGTTGGGAAGGCCGACTCTGAAAATTTGCGACCCAAGTCGCACAGTTCACCTGAATCACAAGATGGTAACATTAACGGTAAACGGTTGCGCAGCTAAGAACTCTTCGGAAGGGCCTTCTTGAAAAGTGTAAACGCTTCTTTCAAGACAAAGCAAAATGTGTTGTTTACAAACTTCAGGGGCCCCATGAAGGATGGTTTCTTCCTGGCGGCATTTGACTTACACCCCCTCACGCGCACACACACACTCGCGCGCTGTTCTCCATACATTCCATCGGCCTCTTGGGACCAGAAAGATGAAATAGACCCTCTGGTCCATTTCCCCCCAATTTGAGCTACTTTAGTTCAAAATATCCAGTAATATCCCTGAAGAGAAGAGAAAGGAGATAAGGAAAAAAGAAAATTATTTTCCCCACATAACTTGGCTTCCCTCACCCCAACCTCACAAACAGCCAGAAGGAGACCGACTTTGCCGAGAGAGAGGGCAAGAGAACTTCAAACGCCAAGAGGCCGAGCGAAGTTTAGCAGGGACAGGAGAGATGAAGCCACAGAAGGGGGCGCCCGGGGCGTGTCCCCCAAGCGCACCCCCGGTCCCCGCTCCCCTCTCCTTCCTCTTACTTTTGGATGATCTGGGGTAGGCCGGCTTGGGGCGGCGGCGGCGGCGGCGGCTGCATCCCTCGCGGGCCGGGGGGCGCTGGAGGCGCCGGGGCACCGGGCACGCTGCGGGCATCTCTGTCCGGTTGCTCGAGGCCGCTGGTGTCCGCGTCCTGGCTCATGGCTGCGGCCAGCACCATATGAGGCGAGACCGGCCCCGGCTCGCGGCAGGAGAGCGCCAGCGAAGGGCGGCCCCGGCACCGGCGCTCACTGGCCGGGGTCCCCGTGCCCAGTCCCCTTGTCCTTCCCGGTGGCGCGGGGAGGAGACGCGAGGGGCGGGGAGGAGGCAGTCCCGGCGGCGCCGCCTCCTCCTCCTCCTCCCGCCGGTCCCACTCTCCCGGCCGGGCCCCGCGGGGGTGGGGGACAGGGGGCGTTTCCCGGCCGGCGGGAGCGGCTCTGCTGCCCGGGGCTGCTAGGCGCCGGTGAGGTCCTGAGAGCTCTGCCCGCTGACCGCGGGCGCGGCGAGCGGGGAGGGAGCGTGGCGTGTGGCACCGGCCACCGTGCGCCCTCAGGGTCCCAGGCCGGGCGCTCCGCTGGGCAGCTGAACCGCGTGAGACGGCGAGACGCACGCCAGCCCGCCGCCGGCTGCCCAGCTCTCGCCTCTCCCGGGAGCGGGGCGGCCTCGGGGCTGTCCCCAGGGACGGCGCGCGCAGCCTCTCGCCCTCCTGCCAAGAGCGGCGGACGGAGCGCGCCCGGGGCGTCGGCGCGCATCGCCAGTGCGAAGCGCGCCGGGCTTGGCACCTTCCCGCGGCCGGAGCCCGGCCCCGCGAGAGAAAAGCCCCGACCCTCCCCCTGGTCGGTGGGCCTTGTAACCCCGGTCTTAGATGACCAGGCCCTAGGGCTCTCCAAATTGGCAGTTCCAGCTGTTGATTTCAGGGGTCCCCAGAGGCAGCCGGTGGGGCCGCCGTGGTTTCTCTTCCTTTTTTCCCGTCTTCTCTAAAAGACCCGCCACGATTTCACGAACGCAAAGACAAAACCAAGCATACGCTTTATTCTTGTTATTTATTGGCGAAATCTCAGTGGAAAGGTAAAGAATGACAAGGAGAGAGATCACCGACATCGCGTAGCCACCACCACCGCCTCTAAAGCTCTGTTCGTTGCCTGGGAGCCCGTGTGCGCCAGTTCACCTGCACACGTCGGTTCACGCCTGTGGATACGCGCATCCTGCGCTGGGAGCCACCTTGCAAGGTGCAGCTTAACGTCCTGGCTCGCGGCTGAAGGTGTCGGGACGCACCTGGTGCCGCAGAAACATTTATGCGCCGGGCAAAGTGGTTACCCTAGAGATCCTTACCGTCCTTCCGGCGTACGGACATCCTGCATCCTGTCACGGGCAGCCCCGGGAAGCCAGGAAAAGCGTCCCTTGGGTGCTTTGGAAACCAGAGAGCACGCCAGGGTGCCCCACGGCCTGGAAAGAAGTTTGCTGAGGGTCTCAAGCCCATCCGTGTCCTCCTCTCGCGGCCACGCGGAGGAATACTCTGGAGATGGGTTCTCTGAAACCTGGCAACTAATTGAAATTCCTGAAAGATGCTTTCTTCTCTCCCTAGACTGTGAGTTTCTGTCAACTTCCCCACCAGCGTCAGGAAGCTTAGGCGCCCTTGATTTCTGTCGTCCTACCTAGATCTTTCCCCTTCTTCCCTCTCTCCTACAGATAAAATGTCCTGTCCACTTTCTGTCTTCCTTCCTCTCTCTCTCTCTCTGCTCCTACAGATAAGATGATACATCAATTACTTGTATTCATAAAGATTATTAAAATTCACAAAATTGCATCTCACCAAAAAGAACAGGTAAAGAGGTAGTGATTGTTGTCCCCATTTCACAAATGAGTCATCATCAGCGTGATTTGTCCGACTGTACATGGTTAGTAAGAGGCCGTGCCAAAAAGAGGCTTCTCAGGCTCTCTGAGAGGTTGCTTCATCATCCTTAGTTTCTATCACTAAAGTCCTGAATACAGTTTCCATAAAACTCCTCGTCCCACCGGCCCCCACCTTCTTGGTTGAGAGAAATTACCTGAAGTTAACATTGCACCTCTCCCAGAAACTAATTTTTAAAATTTTCCATATGCTTGCATTAAAATGTCCCTCTGAGAATCGTCCGAAACCTTTGTGAAAAGGGCTTTGCAGTCAAAAAGAGATCTGTTCTTACCAGCGGAGGCTTATAAACTGACTCAACCTCTCCGAGTGTCAGTTATCAAATATGCAAGTTGGCAGTGATGAGACCCCAGCTTGCACAGTTGCTGTTAGGACTACACATAGTGTATCTTGCATATTTGGTGTGGGAGATATTCAATTCGGCAGTTATTATAAATGTGATTCCTAATATTCCAACGGTGTAGCCAAATAGAACAACGGATCTCAAACTACAGGAAGCTGAGTGCCTGGCAGTCACAATATTGATATAACTAAATCCATCCCCATAACCTTTCTACTGGCAGAAAAGAAAGACTATATTCTATGAATGCAGCTATCTACATCTCAAAAATATCGTGTTAGCATATGGGACAAAATAATAACAGTGGGTAAACCTAGGTATTCATTAAGCTTTCCTTGCATCCTTTCTGTAAGTTTGAAAATTTCAAAATAAAAAAAATTGAAGAAATTAATAATTCACAAGGTGTTTTCCAGAAATCCCATTCCCATGATTATAGCTTAATATTTGCAATTTATGTGTTATGTACCACCTGAAATTCGAATGGAAGCAGATGCGAAGGGAGAGGGGAACGCTGCAGCGTAACCCTAAAGCTGGTTCCTGCCCTACCTCAAATCCCCACAGAATGGTGTCCAGGATTGTCTCCAACAAGCATTTCCATTTTGCCACTCAAACATTAAATGTATTAAGCAGGCCCAATGAAAACTATTTTTTAACTTATGTTTTCTCACTTCTTTCTGGGAAGAATGAGAAAGATCCGTCGCTGGGGTTGCAGCCATGTGAGAAACTAGCAGTCTTGCTTCTGCCTGCCCTGTGCGCTCACCACCCCCACCACAGCACGGTGTGCTTCACAGTTACTGCTGGGGGGTCTCCTGACTTGACAAGTGGGGAGTGTGACTTGTTCGTCGTGGAGGACTGATAACATCTGTCTTTGTTCCACTCTGCAGAAGCATCCTGTCCCTCCTGACCTACCAGCAGACTACGATCAGGCAGTGGGGCTTTTGCTGTCTGTGAACACACTGAACATTTAACAGGAGTCCGCTGCTAAGTGCTTTCATAGATTATTACTTCCTTCATACTCACAGGAACCTCAGAAGGTAGCTACTGTTATCCATGTTTTAGGACTGAGAAAACTGAGGCTCAGATGGCTATACCCATTTGCCCGCATCACCTGGCTTTTAAGGGGCAGAAGCAGTGAGGTAGACCTCTCTGCAGTGAGGTCCACCTGACCCCAAACCTCTCTCCACTGCCTCGGTGACAGACACACAGCTGAGGTTCCCACCTGTCTTCTTTTGCTGTGATCCTGCCTGCATTGTCCAGAGAATGTAAAATGTCACCTGCATTGTGACTCAACTCCGCCATTCATATCTATCCAGATCAGTAAATTAATAGGAGTGATCCAAATTGACACCTTACAAACAAGAAAATTCAAAGAAATTAAGCAGCCTGGTGGGAGGTAGTAGGAAGGAGTGGGAAATAGACCTCAGGTCTTATTACTACTGAGGTCATTTTCCAACTTGCCAGGGGCTCTGGCACTCTGGCTTGTTTTGTAATATTAATCAATGTTTGCTGGGGTCCAGGCACTAGTTCTAGGAGCTTTCTCATGCCTTATTTCATTTAATATCACCAGTTTGCAGACAGAGAAGCTTCGTGAACCCGCTCAAGGTCACAGGATAATAAAAGTGGAGCCGAGGTCCAGACCTTGGTGTGACTCCCTGCCCTCTGTCCAAAAGGGAACTAGCCGGCTTCTCAGGGTGATTGTGAGCATGCGTCTCTGGAGATGAGATTGTTTCATATGTAGTGCTCTTCCACATTTGTTTACTATTACTGTTGTTTTTTTTTTTAAAGATTTTATTTTTTCCTTTTTCTCCCCAACACCCCCCGGTACATAGTTGCGTATTCTTCGTTGTGGGTTCTTCTAGTTGTGGCATGTGGGACGCTGCCTCAGCGTGGTCTGATGAGCAGTGCCATGTCCACACCCAGGATTCGAACCAACGAAACACTGGGTCGCCTGCAGCAGAGCGCGCGAACTTAACCACTCGGCCACGGGGCCAGCCCCTATTACTGTTGTTTTTTAAATAACAGTCTACTTCAGTATATTGTAAAGTTTGATAATACCCAGAGCTGGTGAAACAGCAGGACACAGACATTCTCTTACACTGTGGGTGAAGGTGTCAGTTGCTGCAACCTCTTTGGAAGTGAGTTGGTGCTATTAAAATTGCAACAAAGGAAACTGACTCAGCCTTTACCCATATCCTATTGGTTTATTTGTAGCAACAACCAAAGCTCCATGTACAAGGGAGTTCGTTGTGGTGGTGTTCATAATAGCAAAAACTAGAAACAACCAAAGTGCCAAGCAGTGGGGGACTGGTTATATAAAGGATGGCCCCTAACTACGAGAGAATACGCTGTAGCCCTTAAAAAGGAGGAGGTAGATTTCTACGTCCTGGTAGGGAGAGATTCCAAGATGGAGAAAGGAGAAACATACACATTTTCTTCCAAGGAGAAAGTTTCAGTTCCTCAACAGCATTGCAGTATGATTAAATTTGTGTAAAATCAAAGAGCATAAAACATTTCTGGAAAGTCATAAAAACAATTGATTACTAACAGTAGTTACCTTGGGAAATTGGGATGGAGCAGAAAACTTTTTCTTTTATGACCTTTTACATTTTTTGAATATTTGGAATAAAATTGTATCAATTATATGTATTGTTTGAAAATTTTTTACTATGAATATGTGTTTTTTATTAACTGACAACAAAACAATTGTTTGTTTCTTCTACTAGTAATTCTTAACAACTCTCAGCACATTAATAGGATGTTTGTTTTGAAAGCAAAACTTCATCTGCAGGAATGAAGGAGAAACACACTGGACAATGTATTGTCCAAGTAGCTTCTTGATATCCTAACAACTCCAACAGAGACAGTTGAGTAATTAACTCATTAAGTTGCCAACAGTCAAGTTGATACAGTTACAATCTACTAGTTTGACAGTTAAGGATAAATATTAAACAACTTATCAAAGTTAGTCATAACATATTAACTGTTATCTGAGTGTTGTTAATAACAGTTATCATTTCTTGAGTATTTCTATGCCAGCTTGTCTTGAGTACGTAATGTTTCTCATTTAATCCTCACAACCACTTTATTAGATGGTTGTTTTTATGCCCATTTTACAGATAAGAAAACTAAGGCTCAAAGAAGTTCAGCCACTTGGCCAGCTGCTAAGTGGAGGAGCTGCAGAGCTAACCCCAGTCTCTATTTTTCCTAGGGTTGAACTTCTAACTACTCTGTGTGGTGACATGGTGTTTCTTAGTGTAATGGGGCTTTTGAGACGAC